AAAGGGAAAAGGGGAGAGAGAGAAGGAGAAAAGGGAAGAGGGAGACGAAGACCAAGACAGAGAGAGGGAGAGAGGAAGAAAAGAAGAGGGAGAAATGGAGAACTGAAGAGATGGATATGTAAAGATGCAAAGATGCGAGATTGATGTGTCGAAAAAAAAGAAAGATAAATAAACAATATAAAAAAAGACCCAGACATCAAGCTGCGAATAAAACTGACATGCGCCCAAATTGCCTGATACTGAAGCCCGTTACCTTTTTACTCTCAATTTTCGCCCCAAAACGTCGACGGGGAGCGTGTGACGTCACGCGAGGGGGAGGAGCCAAACAGGTGCAGTTTGACGGAGGCTAAAAAGTGTGATTAACAGCTGTTAGCCTTTCCTGAACGTCGTCGAAGTGTATTTTGATAAGCTTGATTATGATCTTGGCTTTTCGAGTCGCTCACGGTCGGCGGGGCTTTTATATACAGGCTTATATCCGCACACGCGCTCTTTGATACACGGACGTACCGCTCACGCACACACAAGCGCACGTACAAACAAATACACAATTCCAAGCAAAAACTCAACAAAAACATACAAAGAAGCACATACAAAACAAACAAACACAAACAAAAACACAAAGGCAAATACAAACAAAAACACACACAAACAGACAGACAAACACAAACCAACACACGCACACACCAATCCGAAACAAACTGCATTATAGATACAAGCCTCGTTCAGCAGAGATCAATAGATATCGATAGATTCCTGTCCCAAAAGATAAGAAAAAAATCGCTCACGTAAATAAAATAAGTCTGTTTCGAGACATTAACTTCGCTCACACACCATCCCAAATATGGTCATCCTTTCAACAAAATATAGTGTATTATTTTGAGAATATAGTGCGTGTTAGAATATAGTTTGATTATTAGTATAGTGTGTTATTGTTAGAATATAGTGCGTGATTATCAGAATTTAGCGTGTGCATATTAGAGTATAGTGAACAGATATTAGAATATAGTGAATATCAAAATATAGTGTGTGATTATTAGAATGAATTATGTTATTATTCGAATATGGTGTTATTACTCGAATATAGTGTGTTGTTATAAGGTTATAGTGTGTGGATTCCGCTATCTCGTAAGCAGTGTATCAGAGGTATATTAGTTTTGACAGTTATTATGTTATTTTGTTGTTATTGTTAGTAATTTTTTTTATTGTTTTATTGCATTGCATTGATATTTGGTTATTGTTATGATTATTATTATTATTTATTTATTATTATTATCATTATTGTTAGTTATTAGTTTAGTATACTATTATCATAAATTATCCTCATTATTGTTACTATTAAAATTTGTTATTATTCTTATTGTATTTATCATTGTATCCATCATTATTTCATCATCATCAATCATCATCAGCAGCAGCATCAGCAAGCAAGCAGCAGCAGCAGCAGCAGCTGGCAGCAGCGGTAGCAGCATTGTTATGACTTTCATGACAATATCATGCACGCTTTACTTTTGTGATGCATTTTGTGAAAAGTCTACGGTCGCAAATCCACATTTCAACTACTTTTCCCGCTGGTGTTATTAATCCTTACTGATTTAATAAATATATAAGTCACTGTGACAGGTGCTATTTTATTATTGATAAGGTACGTCGTGTAATTAAAAAAAGGTTATGTATTTTTTTGGTGTGGTTACAATTTGATGTTATATTTACTAAATATTTGGGGTTGTGTTGTCTTGGAATTTCTTGTTTATGTATAAAAAAATACTTTTTTATATCACGTTCTCTTTGGACGGAATGTTGTTATATTATTTAGTTTCGTTATCAATCATCCCTCTTTCATTATCTCTCTCTCTCTCTCTCTCTCCTCTCTCTCTCTCTCTCTCTCTCTCTCTCTCTCTCTCTCTCTCTCTCTCTCTCTCTCTCTCTCTCTCTCTCTCTCTCTCTCTCTGCTCCCAAAAAATCAATAATCCTATATAAAAAAACAATTAAAATCTCAGAGCAAAAAAAAAAATAAATAAATAAAGAATAAAAAGAAGACCTTATCCCCCCCCCCTCCCAAACCCAAAGCAGCCAGCGACAACGAACCCAAAGTGGGGGGGGGGGGGCAGAAAAAGCAAGCCACCCAGCAAGCAGATTCCCCTACGCGTATGTTTGTTTTAACTTGTCCGTTCGCGGGGTAGCTGGTCGGGCCTAATTTGCCTCCGTCGGGCGTTCGCGTAAGGTCTTGGCCGACGAACCGAACGGCGATGGATGGTGTGGCTGGTTGCTAGTTTTTTTTATTTTTTATTTTTTTTTCTTTAGAGGGGGTGATAGACGAAAAGATGCGAACCAGACACGCACGCACACGCACACGCACACGCACGCAACACGCGCACACGCACGCACACCGCACACGCACACGCACACGCACACACACACACACCAACACACACAACACACACACACACACACACACACACACACACAACACACACACACACACAACACACACACACACCTA